ATACATGGACATGTGTATCACAATGTAGATGAGGAAATTATATATATATATATATATATATATATATATATATAAATCGAAATCTCTGCAAATTTGTTTTCCCATTTTCTCTTTTAGTGTGTGTATACTAATAATATTTAACCTAAATTGACCTCGAATATACCTGAAATGGTTCCTGAATAGTCATCAGGTAACAAAGGAATTATTGATTATGCATAAATCAAGTACAGTGGAAACCACAAGAGATCGGTCTAAGATTAATTTTAATTTAAGCTATTGTACTATACATTAGATTTAAGAAGAAGGGAAAAATACCAAGAAAAAATAAACACACAAAAAAGTTTTTTTCGCAATCTTTCAACAAAGAGACTTTTTTTTTAATTATATACAATTTACAAATACGAAAGATAATGGAAAGATAAACATGTAGTTTACTTAACCTAAAATATAAGGAAAATATGTTAAATTCAAAACATGTCACGTACAATTGTGATTTCGTGTCCAGTTACAAAAAGGATGATGTTTCGTTGCGGGGAAGACTTCCTTGTACGTTTATTTAATATTTCCCTTTAATTTTATCCCATCGTGTTGTGTACATCATAACAAAGCCCCTCAAGCACAGGGTGTATGTTTCAGGCTGATATACGTAAGTATGTTCGACTTCCTGTTTACTCAGCGGGGCTGGTACAATAAATAACGTAGACATCTAATATCAACCCCTGTGTCAAACAACGGGGAGCGTCAAGGACAGCGGTTTATTATGGTATTGTACAAGTATATATTATGTAATAATATACAATCATAGACTGCAAGTGAGCTCTATCAATGATTTGTGAACCGGGTATGGGCAATATTTACCGAGACTGAAGGCTGAGGTTACTGGTTCATACGCATGCGTAGACGGAAACTGGTGTTAACAATTAGTTTATAGTCTATTAACCCCATCACGTTTAGTCAGTCTTAATCAAAGGAATTTATAAACTATCATAGTCTGTAACACTTACTTCTATTTATAGAATGGGGTATGTAAGTGATTTACAGTCACGTCACATGACGTCGCTCTTACAATCTAAGCTGTGAATTCAAAGCAGACTTTTATTTTTAGAGTTAGATTTGGTATCTGGAATTAACCTAAGCTATATTTAGTAACGAACAATAACAGTTTTTTTTTTTTTTTATTCTTAATATGGAATTATAATAACTTTTTAGTTCGTCACATGACGTCTGTCATCTGATCAGAGTTTGCAGTCAACAACGTTAACAAACATATGTAGATTGAAAACAAAAAATCTTTCATATGTCATCAAAAAGGTTTGACGTATACCAAACTTGTACTTGTAATTAAACGGGAAAGCAAAGAATGTGTCAAGTCAAGTGGGTCTCTATTCGTGAAACCGTTCGCATGCCCAGATCACAGGGGTTTGTGTAGTTGTGTTGTGGCCCATACCAGTATAGCATATGTGTATTTAGTGCCCATGTGTTCAAACCAACTATCTTGTATCTCGCTTAAATCATATAAAACGGTCCAAACGGTGGTTTAATATAAACAATGAAAACAGAAATTACTAATAAGGTCTTCCCAATAACCGACCAAATGTAAATATTTTTTATTAATTTATCACCGGAACAAGAAAGAGCGCTCGAGTACAGAATCGGAGTTTTAGAATAAGAACGGCTTTATACATACGTGTCCGAATCATTCTATCTTAATTGAGAAGAGGATTAAACTAACATGATAATCTTTATTTGCAATAGAATTTTTTTCTCGTACCTCATACAGAGATATCCCATGTCATACCCCATGCTAGATTTTTCTATCTCGTCCGATATGTCTTGTGCCTTAACGTGACATTTCGCGGAATTTTTACACTGTGATGTATTCATCCGCGCGTTAACTGCTTGAAATTGACAATTTGCATTATAACTGTTCTGTTTTGTCTCTATATGTATAGTTTCGATGTTATTAGATATTTAATGTTGAAGATCAAATTTGATCTTCACTGTAAAATACGTTGTTATCTATGTAAGGATGGACTACATTTTTACACGGAAGCATTCAAATGTAGCGTTAGTAGTGAAGAGGTCATTATCATATGAGGCCCAAGTCTACTTGTAGTTTTTGGCAAAATTGAATAGTTCTTTTCGAAGTAAAAGGTACGAGGAAAAAATCAATTACCTGTAACTGAGCGAGATCGGGTTATCTCAGTCTCGGGCTAAGATTCTGTAACATCCCAACCTCGGCTTACGAGGCTTAACCCTCGACTGAGATAACCCGATCTCGCTCAGTTACAGGTAAAATACTTTATCAATCTTTGATGATGATACATTTAAGGTTTACTAAGCACATGTATTAAATCGATATTTTAAGGGTTTTCGTTTTTATGCCAATAACTTTGACCAATCACTAGAATCTATGACAAACAATCGACAAGGTTGTATATATATAAAACAATCATATATATTAACAACGCTTAGAAAAATGCTTATCGAGACAGCATCTTGATTATTACGAATGTCAGCATTGTGACGTTACAGTGAAACCCGGATGTACTTTAAATGATAAAAAGGAATTCGTCTTAAAATGTCACGGTCATTCATAATTGTTTCGCTCGATTGCGGTTTTAGAATGAAAAGTGAACAAGGTTCTTCCTCAATTTGACTCTACGGGGATATATATCAAACCTAGCTATTACAATAATTAAATTTCTATTTCCCGTATAAATAACAAAACACGCGAGTGAATAATACAAGTTGATATAGTTCATTTCATAATTGTTGTAAATAAATGAAATATATTATTTTCCATATATGGCCCAGCCCCACTGCAACTAGGAAACCACACCTTCATTTCATAATTGTTGTAAATAAATAAATTTTATTATTTTCTATATATGGCCAATCCCAGGGCCAACTGCAACTAGGAAACCACACCTTTCGATTGCACACCGTTAGGAAACCACACCTCTCGATTGCACACCGTTAGGAAACCACACCTTTCGATTGCACACTGTTAGGAAATCACACCTCTCGATTGCACACCGTTAGGAAACCACACCTCTCGATTGCACACCGTTAGGAAACCACATCTCTCGATTGCACACCGTTGTAATCCCTTTGTCTACTGGTGCATCATTTGGTTAAATCGAAATAGTTCAATACATTTATATTTAAAGATTTAATCCTATTTCCTATTGTGAATCACGTCTCATCTTCCCTGCAGGAGATCGACAAACCTTTATTGATCAAGGTTTTGGAATGATTCATGACAAACAGGTGTAGTCAAACACCTTTCGGTCGTTCTGAACAAGCAATCTGCTATAGGAAAAGTTGATGGAGGACGGACGGCTGAAGCTGAGCCAAATGAAATCAATTGTGAAAGGAAAGGTGTTTATGTGCTTTTCATCTGTATAAATATCATTTCACTCAGTGCTAACACGTATCAACGGTAATCCATACTCGTATAAAACATATTCTGCAGCGCACGTGTTATAATGTAGTTTTCATTAGCAAGTCTATTTTGTAAAAATAATGTTCATTGGTCAATCAAATGTTGTGACGAAACTTTTCATTGGCCAGTCTTCGTAGATTATTTTAATCAGTTCATAATTTCAAGCGTGTGGAAATCACAGTAATGTACATTCTGATACACTCATTTTATAGGGTTCAAAACGGCATTCGATTTTAAAAAAAATGTGACCTGGAGATATTTATTTACTTTACTTAATTTACAACAATAAATAAACATGTTATGTTAACTTATATTATTCACTTTTGTTGGCTTGGATGTTAGCGCGCAGGGATCTTTATGTGGAAGGAAACCGGAGTACCCGGAGAAAACCCACGCGATCGGCAAGGTGATCCCATACTTTTTACGTCCAATCGGGGAATCGAACCCCGGTGAAAGGCGAATGCGTTATAAACTGCGCCACCCGACCTTCCATTTGGAGAGAAATAATTCGTCAATACTAACGGTATCAACACATGTTTTTTTTATCGCACCAACAAAGACAAAATTTGTCTTGCTCAATGGTTGTATTATGAAATCGATCTACAACGTATATATAATCGATAATAACACAAACAGGACGAACCACTAAGCGGTTATATGGCACGTCAACTAAACAATTATATATATGTTATAGAACTTAGGATTGATAAAGTCAACTGTGTTTTTGTTTTTCATTTAAACATTTATATTTGATATATAATGTGACATCCTCAGAATTCCATGAGTTACGCTCGCTACCTTCTATTGCACCCTTGGAATATGTCAAGATAACATCGAAGACACGTGGTTAGCTATTTCATTGGTTTCAGGTCCTAAAAAATCTGACCAATCGCTAGGCTGATACATTTCCTTTGAAGATTTCAGACTTGACAGCCGGTTAATTTTATCGTTATGCTGCCGCCCGATTCTTTAAATATACACCAAAGGATCAAACTTGTCTACTTGCATCCTCCACACAATGGCCAGTACCGAAACTTCGATTTTGCAATGTTTTGTGACACTTTCTCGGGGTGCCAAGAACGGAAGAGAGCAACCCCTGGTATTTCTAGGATGATAATGCATAAGTGAGGGAAATTTTTCTAAAAACAATTCTTTAAAATAAAAGCATCATTAAGTGACATACAAATCTTAGAAAATATATTATTATTAAATGAACTTAAACTTTTGAATGACACGAGTCATTAAAAAGTCTTTTGAACTGAGGAAGGTGGGCTTGCAACGTGCCTAAGTTTCATATTAATGCTTTTGCAGTTCGATCTTTTGAATGTATATTATTTGGATGAAATGTATCAAAAAATGGAATTATTAACTTACTTCAATATAAAACACTGATTAAAGTAATAATTGGATGAATAAGAAAAGGAAGGGTTACAGAGTCAACTAATAACTGCCTTTCTTAACATTTCATTATAGGCCGGCATGTGTGTGATTTACCTCAATGCTACAAATAGCGTTTTATGAAAAAGATCGTCAAATAAATAAATTTACTTACATGTAAAGCAGACAAGGAGAGAAAATATCCTCATCATTGTTAAATTCCCCATCTTCACACCTCGTCTGTATATTCACTACACGGTCGTGCAATCACATGCTCTTTACTCGCTGGTGTTTTAAAGATCCGCCATTTTGAAAAAGCTGAACTATAGTGTCACACATGTATAGAGTACAACGATGTTCGAGGAAGAATTATTCAAAAACCGGAAACTGCCCGCGTGTGTCATTTGAGAGGCTGGGTCGGAAGTTTTGCTGGGCTGCACGTGTACACATGCATTGAAATTAGCAATAGGTGCATATTTAGAAACAACAACTCTAGCTTAACACTTTTGTTTGGATTCAGGAAGCTTAGTTCGTGTATTTTTGTTATTAATTTGTCGTGAAAAATGAGAAGAATGCTCTTAAAAAGTCACTTCCTTATGATTTGCTACAGGGTATATTACTGTAGAAATCCGTTCACTGGGCGTCCTATCCTTACGCGTTTCCATTCATTGAGCAGGCTCGTTCACCAGAAAATTTGAGTGGCTAGCCCTCTAAGTATTTCGTGTGACTGCGATAAAAATAACATTTGCCCTTCCGTGTGTTCGGGAATACAGACTATATAGCCGCATGAAGTGTTCCCATTAACAATACTGTGAGTCACTTAATTTTTGCCGTTACGAAATATTTTCACGAGCGTTATTGAGTCAAAGACTTATTCACAAGGTGTTTTGCGAATAGAACAAATGCCATTTGTATCATTCTTTGTTTAATTGTGGCTTTATTCGCGCACGCGTATTTCTACAAAAATAAATTCACACAAAAACAAATTTACAGTAGGAAAGCTGATTAAAATTATACTACTGTTTCTTATTTTTTTTTTATTTATATTAATGTTACTTATTTTTTTCCTCGTTTTTTCCCAGTGACATGATAGAGAGAATAGGATTTTTCGTCTATATATTAAAATAATTTCATTAATTGTATTGATCATACTTCGGGTAATTGACAACGAATGTAGTTCTCGCAGGAATATATGAATAAATATAAACTGTATATGCTCAATGTATAAGGCACTGTGGCTCTTTCCTCGTGAAATTCCCATGATCCATTGTACATGCTAAACACGTCTGGGTCACACCCTAAAACTAGAGAAGAGTCGAGGTCATTTATTTTGAAACATAGCCCGGTTTACATAATTGACATATTTAATTGTTCTATAAATGTCACGTGACGTCTGAAGCAGGAATAAATTCAGCGCCAAAACAAAGGCGTCGCCCTATATATATAGGTTCAATACTGCATGAAATAAACTTGAGACTAAGTATTTGGCAATGAGTGCGTTTGGTGCTTTCAGCTTTTGATATTAAAACTTATGAGCACGTACACGAGAGAGGCATTTCTTTATTACAATTAAATATCCCTCCAAACAGGCAAATAAGCTTATGGCATGGGGCATCAACCGACGTCCATCCGTCCGTCGTGAATTTGTTTCTGTAAACAAATTCTTTTGAATAACCACAAGGCATAGTATTAAGGTATTTCGGCATTAGCTTGCAAAACTGAAAGGATGTTAAGTTCGATGTTCAAATGAATGACATTGGCCCACTTTCAAAGCTACATAGGTCATATGTGTTAAAGCATTCAATTTACTTCTTTTGAATAACAAGAAGGCTTAAACTATTTTTCTGAATAGTCAAGAGGCCAATGGCAATGATTTTTATCATATGTTAAATAAGATAGAAGGGCTACCAAATTTGTTGAAATAAATTACAGTGACCTACTTTCAAGGTCATTGATTAAATGTGTTGAAAACATAATAACTTCTGAATAACCAAACGGAATCATGGTCTCTGTTGATATTTGACGTATTAGGACAATGCTACCTGACATGCAGTTTAGCGGTGTAAAGGACTCTATAAAGCGTTGGATCTGAAGGAAAGCATGACCTTGACCAACTTTTAAGGTCGTATAAAGGAAATTGCTTAATCGTATAACCTCGTTATACTGCCACCATTTGCCCAGATACATTTTGGCGTTATAATGGGGTTTGGCGACAAAGTGAGGGAAACATATGAAGAAATTCTTTAAGAACTAGAGAAGAGGGGAACTATATTTGCGGTAAGCGAGGCGGCATATGAAACGAATGGCATTATATCGAGGTTTTACTATGTATTAGAAAGATCACAGACTTGAGATGAACAGCAGTTGAGAGACACATGCTAATTGGCCCCTAGCATCACTGATATGTCCTATAGAAGGACAATAAAGCTGTATATTGCAGAGAAATTCAATTTTGCATACTGAATTATTACTAATTTCAAAAGTCAGTCACCTTTGTATGATAGGTTCATTTTACAACGTTTGCGCATTTTATAAAACAAAAATCTTGATCCAAGCCCCTATATGTCATGCAAGATCAAGCTGTAGCGTATCACGACGCAACACCACGTGCACTAAACTTGTCAGTTGTCCGGAAATATAACGGGTATTAAGACACACCACACATTGTAAAACCACGTGACAGATATAAACCGGAAGTGGGTGTCGGTCGGTACGCAGTATCGGAGGCTCAGCGTATAATCCCGTAAATCCGGTATTTTGTATTGCTCTCATACTGCTTTCCGCAAGTACGCGTCCTCTTTCTGAAAATCCATTACTTTAAGTTCCTCCTTTTGGGTCGGGAAAATGTTGACTCTTCTAAAACGATTGCGTGCAGTGAATTTATCTTTTTCTTATTGTTGCAAGGCATCTTATGAAAGACTTATTTGGAACTACAATAGAGCAGACAATTTTAAATTTAATGATTTGATAATGGCAGTAAACTGGCAAGACCTGATTTGAAATGCAACTTCTATTGACTGTGCAGTAGAAAACTTTACAGCAAAATACCTAGAACTAACTAGTACATGTATCCCAAACTCTAAAATAATTGTTCGACCCTCAGATAAACCTTGGTTTGATATTTTCTTACGGAAACACTGTCGTATACGTGACCGAATGAAGTACAAAACATTAAGTTCAAAGCGCCCGGATGATTGGTCAAAATATAAGAGCATAAGAAATAAAGTTAATAATATGAAAAAGAAAGCTAAGGCTGACTTTTTCAGTAATCTCGAATCCCTTATCAATAAATCGAAAAATGAAAATCCTCGTGAATTTTGGAAAATTTAAAAAAGTTTTTTCTCTTCTCCTGCCAGATCTATTCCTCCGTTGGGTTATTCAGTTAATGGCTGTTCAAAAGTGGCATACAGTGACCAAGAAAAGTCGAAGTTCTAAATAATTATTTCACTTCAATTTCATGTACTGATGAATCCAATGTCACTCTACCTGATTTTCATAGAAAATGTCAAAACTCTCTCACTAAAATTGTTATACATGCAAATGAAGTTTTTGATATTTTATCAATTCTAGATATTAGAAAGGCAGTTGGCCCTGATAAGATCAGCCACCATATGCTGAAGGCTACAGCCAGATCAATTTCACAGCCTCTCACTATATTGTTCAATCGATCTATCAGAGAAGCTGTTTTCCCTTCCGAATGGAAAAAAAAGCTCATGTCATGCCGTTATTCAAAGAAGGAGATGCACAACTTCCTTCCAACTATCGATCTATTTCTTTACTTAGCTGTGTGTCAAAAATTATGGAAAGGTGTGTTTTTAAGTATATTTTTTAACTTTGCAAGAGAGAATGATTTTTTTTATAAATACCAATCTGGGTTCCTTCCCGCTCATTCCATCGTTTACCATTTAATAGAACTGTACCATGTGACTTGTCAAAGGCATTTGACAAAGTCTGGCATAGGGGTCTACTTTTTAAACCTCGTCAGTATAGCATAGGGGGTGAACTGCTATCCTTGGGTGTCGAATTATTTAAGCAACAGACAACAATCTGTTATATATGGCAATGGCGTCTCATATCTAAAACCAGTTACAGCAGGAGTTCCCCAGGGTTCTGTACTTGGGCCCTAGTTCTCTTCTATATAAATGACCTCGCTGATCACATGGAAACTTTTGTCAGACTTTTCGCGGACGATTCATTTCTTCAGAAATCTACCTCCAATCTTTATGAAATTGAACAAGCATTGAGTCATGATTTACTATGTCTTCAGAACTGGTCCGACCAGTGGCTTATGAAATTTAATCCTGCAAAGACTGAAGCGATCCTTTTCTCTTCTAGAAATGTCCCTGATAAACCAACTTGGTATGCAACGATGAATCTATCGAGTTCACTGACTCGCATCGTCATTTAGGGTTCACTCTTAGTGGTAACTACAAATGGGCTGACCACGTAAACCAATTAATAAAATCTTCTTCTCAAAATTTTACAGCTTTAAAAAAAACTGAAATACAAAGTAAGTATATATATCATTTGTTCGACCTGTGCTAGAATATGCTTCTAGCGTTTGGGACGGCTGCTCCGAACATTTGTCCGACTCTTTGGAAAAAGTACAATTGGAAGCAGCTAGTGTCATCTCCGGACTTACGACCATTGTTTCACGCGAAGCATTATATTTAGAAACTGGCTGGAAACCACTTAAACAGAGAGGAGAAGAGCAGAAACTGTGTATTTTTTTTTATAATATTCACTATAAACATGCCCCAGCTTACTTAGAACACCTAATCCCACCAAGCAGGCGCGATTTAAACAGGGAGTTAACAAACCCAGACAATTATCAGGCATCCCGTTGTCGTCTTGAAATTACAAAAAAAATCTTTTGTTCCGTCGTCTATACATTTATGGAATAATTTAGATAACGACATAAAATCCGGTGTTTCTCTTCAGACTTTTAAGAATAAAATTTCTCGTGTACCTCCATCTGTGCCTGATATACTGCATACTGGAAATCACTATCTTTCTGTACTACATGGCCGTATATTGTCCGAATTATTCTGACGTTTTATCGATTTTGTTTTTATATCGGTCTGTCTCGCCCCGCCTTCTAATCCCACGTGACGTCCAACGTTTGGAAATATCTTCGGTAACGCAAGATCTCGTCAAGTCATGTGACATTGCTCATGCCCTAATTTCCACTAAAAACATGGGTTGGAAAACGTTGGAAAATACTGTTCGTAATCGACGACAAACCAATATAAAAAAAGTAGTCGATAAAACGTCAGAATAATTCGGACTTGGCCGTATCATTGTAGTGGTTTATGGTCAGATTGATTTAGAGTAGTAGTTTGTCGGTCCCCAAATTGTTTGTGTGGTGGCGGTGTGGAAGATGCGAATCACTACTTCTTTACATGTTCAAATTTTGTTATTCAAAGACGTGTCTTATTTGATACATTGCGCGATTTAAATATAGATTTTAATCTAGAAGTATTTTGTGGGGAAATAGTGACACTTACTCCTATGAAACAAACATCAATATAGTTAAATCGGTACAGAGGTTTTTGAATACAACAAAGCGTTTTGATACTACCTGAACGAACCTTTTACAATCGACATCGAATCTGCTCCCTCTCGACTTCCTTTCCCGTCTTTCATCTACTTTCTCTTCCAATCCCCCTTTACTTTTTGTGATAAAGTTGATTTAGACAAAAAAAACAT